CTTAGCAATGTAAGAGAATAATAGAGTAATGATGATGATGCCAACATGGATTTGCAACACATTATATGCCAGAGCACAACAAGGGCAAACATTTGCAGATGGCAACAAAAAGTTTTGTCTGAATGGTTTTCTCAACAATGACTTATTAAAGTCATCTAGTCTTACTTTCCACCACTCCTCTGTTAGTCAGTTGCTGTACTGTGATGGCTTGTGTGTTGCTGCAAGCTGTGTCAACCGTATTCCAAATACCAGCAGGGTCACAAGTAAAGAGAAACAGGTTTCAATGGAACTATCAAACTAAGACTAGAAAAGTTGGCATGGAGACCTACATCTGGAAAAATTGTCCAGTGTAAACCTTATGAATAGCAGCTGAATATTGTCTGATGTAGTTTTGGAAGATGAGTCCCTCAGGTTGGAAGACACTCAAAAGATAAGCGTTGTTGCCTCAAAGTAGAAATGATCTTAATGCCATGGGTGGAGTAAAGCTTCCAGGACCTTCGTTTCCTCCTATGGCATGACTCAAAGTAAGAAGAAACAGCTGCAAACATACTTTGGTATTTGGAACATAGAATGTATCAAGCATGAATCTAGGAAAATTGGAAGTCGTCAAAAATGAAATGGAGTGCATAAAGGTCGATATCCTAGACATTAGTGAGCTGAAATTGGACTGGTATTGGCCATTTTAAATCAGACAATCATATGGTCTACTGTGTCGGGAATGACAGAATGAAGAGGAATGGTGTCACATTCATCATTAAAAAACACATTTCGACATCTATCCTGAAGTAATAATTTTGTCAGTAATAGAATAATATCCATAAGTCTACAGGAAGACCAAGGAGTTCTGATAGCGTATGGGTTACGAGTGGGATTTCTGGATCATAAGATATTTCTCTTCCTAGACAAAGGAGCGCCATATCATTTTCCACCGTGGTTGTTGCATGTTACAGTCCCACCAGCAGTATATGAGTTCAAATCTTGCCATGTCCTTGACTCCATTTTTTGTTTGTTTGTTTATCACTGCCATTTTTCACAGGGGTGAGATGGCATCTCATTGTAGTTTTGATTAGTATGATACTGTTTTTATCATCTTCATTGCCTTTTACAAATCATAGTTAACCCCTTCCTCTCTCATTCCCTATATAAATGTGGGTTAGCCTTAATGTGACTATAGTATGCTACTGGTGTGATGCTGTAGGATAAGCAGTGGGAACACAAGGTCTGTTTGAACCACAAGGTATCGGTGGTTCAAATTCATAAGCCGTTCTTTGGAAACCCTATACAGGGTCACTATGAGTTGGAACCAACTCTGCAGCACTTATAACAACTATCAGACTATACCTGTCTTAAGATTCTGAATAACGAGCTAAAATGGAAGTACCTAGTTATTTCCCCAGTTACTATTCCATTAGACCATCACCAAATTGTAACTGGTTTTAAGAGCACTCCAGTCACTGAGAGTGAGCAGTCAGGTTGTGTGTCCTTGGTTTTTATGTTACCTGCCCCTGGGAGTAACCTTCTTGTGTACCTTTTGTAAATTAAAAACTCTTACACCTATTTCTAATAAGCTTCCTGTAGAGAGAAGAAATCCTTACCACAACCCAGTAGGGCCCCGTTTGATATTCTAATCTCTTGGAGGCAAGTCCTGTGACGTGAGACAGCTGTAGCATTTGAATTGTGCAGTTTAACATTTCCTTCATCTTCTCACTATATTGCGTTAACCTGAGAAAACATGAGCATATACTTTTTGTATATACTTTTGCCAGGGCCAGAACCACCACCTTGAAAACTTCGTTTGATTGGCAGGAATTCCCTTCTCCATTTTCTATTCTTGAATGTGGGAATACACTGCTCCCACCAGCTGGCTTCTGAAGTCTGTGTTTGTCACAGTAATCCTCTAAGGAAAAATTAAGCATCCTTTCGGATTGGTTCTTTTTCTATTCACTTTTCCTTTTTGTTGGTACTCCATAACCCTGTTTGCCCCACTGGATCAAGCACCCTTTCATTCACTACAAGCCCTGTGGACGTGCGTTCTCACACCCTGGTTAATTCCTTGGATCAGAGATCTTAAAGTTGGGTTTCATTTGGGTTTGCTCCTCAAGCACCAAGAATTTTTGTTTATCTCTGGCTCTGGTAATTTTTTCCTTATCCCTCTGGTTTCCTCTCTTCTAATCATCTGCCAGGGGCTGGTCTGTTCTAGGTGGATTTGGCTTACAGCCATCTTCAACACCCTTTCTCACACTTCCCCACTGTGCCCTGCCAAAAATGGATCCTTTAGCAGAATTATGATAGCAGGTGGAAATTCTTCATTTATTCTAATTGCATCTCTGTTTATACTGTCTTTTTTCTTTTTCTTTTTTTTTTTTTTCAGGGTAGTATTTATCCCTGACCTTTGTGTCTTAATGTACCCCGAGTTTCTATTAGGAGAGTAAACAAGCTGCCATGAACTGTTAAATAGGAACTATGCCCAAATTCCCTTAAAAGCAGGGACAGTGAAGACCCCTGGTGGCGCAGTGAGTTTAGCCCGCCAGCCACTCTGAGAGAGAAAGAAGAGGCTGCCTGCTTCCATAAAGATTTACAGTCTCAGAAATCCTTTGGAGCAGTCCCGTTCTGTCGATCCTACAGCGTCACTAAGAGTTGGAATCAGCTCCACAGCAGTGGACTTGATTTTTTAATTTGTGGGGGGAACAGTGGGCTTTCATTCTTATTTCCATAGTAGTTCCATCACCTAATCTTTGTTTTTGGTGTTGGTACTGGTTGCTGTTGAGTGAGTTCTGATTCGTAGTGACCCCATATGTTAATAGAGAAGAAATGCTGGTCATAGGGTTTTTTTGTCAGGCTGTTTTTCCCAATAGTAACCTTGGGTGGGTTCAAATTGCAGGAGAGCTCAAACTCCACTCGGGGGCATCTCTGACACATAATAGCTGCTCAATAACTATTTGGATTGGACATCTATGAAATGGTGACGATGGTGGTTGTTAAGTGCCATCAAGTCGGTTCCGACTCATAGCGACCCTATATAGGGTTTCCGAGGAGAGGCTGGTGGGTTTGAACTGCCAACCTTGTGGCTCACACTCCAGTGCTGATCTTACAGTGCCACATCAGGAGCAACTATCATTTGTTCAGTTTTGTTAGAAGCCAGGTACAATACCAAATATCGTGTGTTTATTATCTCTTGAATGTGCCCAACAGCTCCATGAGATTGCTTAAGATACTATCCCCATTTTATAGGTGGGCAACTAACTCTGGGAGGAGATTAATGTATCTGAGATTACACAATGGAAAAGTGATGATCCTTTTCTGACGTCCTGACTGACCATTATGCCTGGTGCCTATACCACATGTGTAGTTCTTTCCATAGGAATTAGCTACCAGTATTCACTCCAACTTCAAACATCTTAAAGACTCGGACAGTGGCATATACTTGTAGATTCGTATTGCACACTCGGGAGTAGCTTCCTCTTTCACTTTGAAATTGGGCAGCCTTCTCCCACCTGCCTGTGCTGCGGATCATTCAAGGTACTGATGACCGTTGAGGCCCTGACAACACACGGAAGCAGATCGGGTGTGGACTCTATAGTAACTGGATCAGAAAGCCTTGACTTTTTCACATTTCCTGAGAGAGATTCTCTAAATGGCTAGAGGGGTGGATGATCTGCTTGGTTCAGGGCTGCCTTAGACTTTGAGTGAGTCCCAAAGATGCAAGTTTATGAGAACAAACTTTATAACAAACTCTGAACTTGTGCAAGACTTCCCAGGGTTTTATTAAAATTCCAGTCAGTCATTGTCAATTATATACAACGGCACAATGAGAAACTGAACTGCCTATACATTGTTGTTGTTAACTGCCGTTGAGTCGATTCCGACCCATAGCGACCTTGTTTAGGGTTTCCAAGGAATGACTGGTGAGCTTGAACCACCGACCTTGCAGTTCAAACGACTTTGCATGCTAACGCATTAGCCCACAGCACCACACCCAGACTCCGCCTATACGTTGGGAGTGTAGCTACCCACTGACAAGGGGAGATTATTTAGTGAGCCCTCTTACCTAACGCTATTAAGTGGACCCTTGAGTGTTCTGTGAGATGACCAAATAGCTTAGCTCAAGGGCATGGTAAGTGAGGTTGTGTCCACTTGTGAGAACTTCATCTCCTTACGAAAACCAGAACTCTGGCCTCCCCCATATCTGCCCAACATACCTACTCAAGGAGCCCTGGTAGCATAATGGATTGCCAGCTAGGCTGCAAACCACAAGGTTAGCAGTTCAAATCTACCAGATGCTCTGCAGGAAAAAGATGAGGCTTTCTGCTCCTGTAAAAATTTATAGCCTTGGAAACCCCATACAGGGTCTCTGTGAGTCAGAACTGACTTCACAGCACACCACCACCACCACCATACTTCATCAAGGAACTCTAGTGGCACAGATGGGTAATCGTTCAGCTGCTAACTGAAAGGTCAGCAGTTCAAACCCACTAGCCACCCTTCAGAAGAAAAGACCTGGTAATGGGCTTCCTTAGTTGCTGTTGTTGTTGTCTACCATTGAGTTGGCTCCGATTCAGCAACCCTGTCTAGGGCTTCTGAGAGCAGCTGGTGGGTTTGAGCTGCCGACCTTGCAGTTAACAGTCCAGTGCTGATTCAATCCTGTTGTGAAGTTTTACTCTGTCACGTGGCTTCACTTTGAGTCTGAGCTGACTCAATGACACACAGCCACAACATAACCCGTTCTATTACTGATACAGGCTAGAGGCTGGAGCCTGGGCATGATCACTGTTGAGGGCATGTCTAGTCCAGGCTTCCGTTGATTTTATCCTAGATCTGTCTCAGACTGGCAGGCTCATTTTGTGGACTATGGAGAAGAGGTATTAGAGCCATACTAAATGTCGCTCCCTGTGTTCATTTCTAACATTACTGCTGATTTCTTGTTTTTAATGAGTCTCATCTCATTGGCCAAGATTTAATGTATGCATATTTTTCTGACCTTTTCTCCCCCTTCTTTTAAGGTGATGGACAGAATCTGTTTACAAAAGACGTGACAGTGATTGAGGGAGAAGTCGCAACCATCAGCTGCCAAGTGAATAAGAGTGACGACTCCGTGATCCAACTCCTGAATCCCAACAGGCAGACTATTTATTTCAGGGACTTCAGGCGTAAGTTTCCATCCCAGTGGCAAACTTTCCCCCCTACATATTATCCTGATAAAAAGATTGATAAGACCTCTTTTTTTTTTTTTAATTAATGCTAGATGCTTAAAGTTGAGTCAATTCTACAGAGGGAAGTAGAGACATGTAATCATAATATTTCTACTTAATAGAAAGCTTGAGTGGTCCCTTTTAAAAGTAAAGTCTTATGTCGCAATAGGAATTGATGGTCGTAATTCAAGGTGAATTACAACTGAGTCCCCAATCCTTAACTGATACAAACAACTCAGATAGGGGAAGACAAGGAACATAGAGCATTCTGGAAGGAAATCTGTTTGGTTTGAAGATTGATATTTCCAATGCAGCCTGTGTTTATAGAGACAATGCCTTATCCCCTATCCCCAAACCTCTGGGCACTGGCAGTGTCTATATGGTATCAGAGTATCAAAAAGCAGATCACAAAACTAACCTGCCAGATTATAGGACCTTAGGTGGAATCCTAAGCCCCATCCAGAACCTTCTGAGGTCGGACATTCCCACTAGAAAGGACAAGCAGACCAGCCTGGAAGAGCTAGAGCATCAGAAAAGCATCATCAAAGAAGGATCATCAGGAAAAACAAAAATGTCAGCATAACTGGCTACTGTAAGAATAAGCAAGCTGTTCTCCCGGAAGTCATCAAAGCAAGCAATCAAGTTCCTTCAGTACAAACTTCCAGAAGACTGAAACTCAAAAGGAACACCTGAACAGGCATGTAAGCTTGCTGGTGACCACATTGATCTGCTGGTGAGTGGAAGAGGGGGAAAGGCAGCAATGAAGAAATGGGCTGAATCCAGCCATGGTCCATTGACTCCCGTTGACCTGGAGATGAGAGAGAGAAGAAGAATGGCTGGTTGGTCCAAAGTGTGGTGAGACCTGAGGACACCTGAGCCCATGGAAAAGGTCAGAGCCAGAGAGGGCTAGAGCTGAGAGTGAAGCATCCAGCTTATATGAAGTGAGGGGAGATGCACAAGAACACCCAAACTTGCAGACAGTACCCATTTGACCTAGCCTGGATGGCTTGATAATCAGAACTCGACTAGAGGAAGATTAAAAAAAAATTGATAATAGGAAATAAGGGTAAATTGCTACAATTTGATGAGCCTGACTTATACTCATGGAGGTAGTAACTCCAAATACCAACAGAGAGGGAAGGAGTCTTCATATCAAGTATCAATGCTATCCCCACTGTACACAGGGTAGATAGGGACAGGCAACTTAAACACTGGCTACCTAAAATGAGGGGTCAATAAAGGCACGAAGTAACTGGCTTACAAGGTTTCAAGAGGGAGTTTAATTTAAGAGTGCATGAGGGAAGAAAGAGTCCCCACTGTATAGTTGTCATCTTGTCTAGATGGGTCTGATTAAAAGAGATGGGGATAAGATTCCTATGATTCAATAGTGAGTAATTGTTATCAAGACTAATTGCAGTTGTCACAATTGTAAGGGTAGAAGTTTTGTAACAAAAATTGGGGAGTAGTTAATCTTACAGTCCAGAAACAGAGGACCCTAGGACCATCAAGGGAGAAGAGCACAAGCAGAATGTGGGACCTTATCCAGAGAAGCAGCGACGGCAGAGATGGAGGCAGAGATGGGGCTATGGAAAGAGGAAGCAGCTGAGGACTCTAGATTCATGGGAAGAGAGGGACTAAGAGCTGGTGTCCAGGAGACAGGCTTGCAGAATGTGCTCTTTGGTGGTGTAAATTATTATATATGCCTGAGTGTGGTTTTTTTTTTTTTTTTTTTTTAAAGAGCTAAAGTGAATAGTGAGAAATACTGTTAACTGATGGTTTGTGGAGGGGAATGCAATCATTGTGATGAAACAAGTTGTATGACTTGTTGAATGTAAAACTTGCTGAATGTAAAAATTCACTCAATCCACAATAAAACTTAAAGGGAAAAAACAAAAAACTTAGCTGTATTTAATAGAAATGACTCAGATGGATGATGTCTGGGCTTGTCAAGAGCATGGATCAAGATGTTGGAAAAACTGTTATTTGAGAGTATCAGTACTTACTTGAAGTTGATGCCAAGCCTACCCCTTCCCATCCGCTTGCCCCTTTTTGTTCCCCAACACCTCAGAACATTCATGACCTATGGAAATTGCTAATAAACCTAAGGAACATAGGGAGATTGATGGAGGATAAAGGAGACAAGGCAGCTGCTTTTTCTTAAAAATAAAATTCTGTCATTATATGCTTAGCTAGTTTTTTCCCCAAAATTAATATAAGGACCTTAAAAATGAATATCTAAAGTCGGTGAAAAGCCCACATGCTTTGCTTTTGTGGTGATTTTGACTTCTCACTTGATGTCTAATCAGTTTCCTACTGCGAAGCTGAATGTAGTTAGAAAACTGCAGTAATGATTCTTATAGGCTCTAGATCATCTATGTTTGGCAGCTTCACCTCAAATCATATCAAATATATTAGGATGCATTCAAGTTAAATTATTTTGTTATTAGGCCTCTTAAGTGATTTTTATTTTGCTTTTGAAATAATTATTAATTTTTTTTCATAACTTGAAATCACTGGGTTGTTGGTTTTTTAAGGGCTCTGGTTTTTATAGGTACTGGTGTGGCATTGTCAGATAAGTAATGGACTGCCGACTGCAAGGTCAGTGGTTCAAACCCACCAGCAACTCCTCAGAAACCCCATACTGCAGTCGTGGTGATGATGTGCTGTGAAGTCAGTTCTGACTCATCACAACCTGTATAGGGTTTCCAAGGCTGGAAACCTTTACAGAAGCAGAAAGCCTCATCTTTCTCCCATGGAACAGCTGACAGTTTTGAACTGCTAACCTTGAGGTTAGCAGTCAAACTTGTAACCACTGTGGTACTAGTGCTCCTTACAGCAGTAGTGGGGAAACGTTTTTCTGCCAAGAGTCATATAATGTTTATAACATCCTTCACAGGTCACACAAAATTATCCACTGAAAAATTATCCTGCTATAATGTAATGGCTGGGCTCTCTGGCAGCATAGTAGTTACAATTCGGGCTGCTGATCTCACGGTGAGCAATTGGAAACTACCAGCTGTTCCGCGGGAGAAAGATGAGGCTTTCTGCTCCGGTAAAGATTTACAGCCTCAGAAACCGTGTACAAGGTCGCTATGAGTTGGAACTGACTCCACAGCACACAACAACAACAGTGTATTGGCTGGAACTGCAGTTGCCTTGACAGAACCAGACCAGATGATTTCAAGAGCCTTATAGGACCCGCAGGCCGAACATTCCCCACTCGGGATAAACAGGGTCGCTATGAGTCGGAACCAACTCGATGGCACTTAACAACAAACAACAAAAAGACCTTAGGCTTTCATCTCTGAACTCTCAGAGCCCAAAAGCTAAGAGGTGTTTGGTGCCCTGCATCAAGGGGTTCACACTTGCCTTTCCCTTCTGGCTTCATTTTGCCTGTCTCTTTAAGAAAACCTGAAATTATTTATGAATCCATACTGAAAATTAGCAGTGATTGTCACTGAACTTATGCAAGAGTGTGTAAGTTTGTGTATGTGTGTGTGTATACTTGCATCTCTGTGTATGAGTTTCCTTTTGGACTGGAAAATTGGTCCATGGGAGTTCCTGTGCTGTGCAAAAGGTTGATGTACTCAGCTGTTAACCAGAAAGTTGGAAGTTCAAGTTCACCCAGAGGTACCACAGAAAAAAGGCCTGGCCATCCACTTCTAAAAGAATCATAACCATTGAAAACCCTGTGGAGTACAGTTCTTCTCTGACACGCCTGGGCAACTCTATGGCATCTGGTACTAGTTATTTGTCTACAATACAGTTATTACAGAAGCCCAAAATAGTAATTCAAGAAGTCCAAAGACGCAACCAACAGGTGCAGAGTAACATAATAAATGTTTCCTACTGTGTAGCTGCCTAGTGAGTCATGTGACTTTTTCTCACCTGAGTAAGGAAAATAGACTGCCCATTATCTTTCTCACCATCATTAACTCTGTTTTGTTTCACAGCTTTGAAGGACAGCAGGTTTCAGTTGCTGAATTTTTCCAGCAGTGAACTCAAAGTGTCGTTGACAAATGTCTCCATTTCTGATGAAGGAAGATACTTTTGCCAGCTCTACACTGACCCCCCACAGGAAAGCTACACCACGATCACAGTGTTGGGTAAGAAATGTACTCTGGGTTTATGCTGGAAAACTGAATGGGGATGGCCCCTACCACCAGGTGGCTTCTAGTAGCAAGGAAAAGGTTAATGGTGGTAAATTTCACTGTTCAAACTTGTTTTAGGAAGAATCACCGCCCAGCTTGCTGAATGTTAAAAATAGCCTATTTTACCAAATGCTCTAGCAAATGGCAATCAGCAGCCTTTATAGATTCCACCTGCTCCTGGGTTTCAAACTTCAAGCTTCAGAAGCAAAGATCAAGAGAATTTAGAGCCCTCATATGAATCACTCACCACATGAAATGTCATTGCTTCTAACGACCAGGATTTTTTTTCCCCCCTTCTGTGCAGGAGAGGGGCGATGGGCTACCACATCTGTACCCTGTGGCAGAGCTCGGTTATGAAATCCGCTTAATGATTTTCCCTTCTGAGTTCCGTCTTCATTTTAATGTTGTTGATCAGCTCTTCTTTGGCTTAACATACTGCTTTGGCTTAACATACACTCTACACGATGCTATAAAAATCCTACCCGTTGACATACTCTGCCACAAATTGCCACCACTGGACATAAAAGAGTTAAGAACATCTAGGGAGAGAAGGCTGATGGTAAGCAAAGGACTATGTTGGCTGCTGGGTCGATCTCTAGTGAGTTGAGTGTCTTCATTTGTGATCACCAGATTGTGATTTTCAGCAAAATCCCAGTAGCCAGCTTTCTACACTTACATTTTGATATAGTCAGCAGATATTCCTGTTTTGAAGTCGGTCAGAATGAGTCACCTTTTAGACAAACATAGACTCCAGTGCATAACACTTAGCTGATGGGGATTTTTGAAACTGAGTTTTCAAGGACATCTATTATAGCATGAGGAAAGATCTCTGATTTACACCTTCGGGAAGATGATGAATCAAAGTCTATTTGAGGCGGCAGACTGCAGCTTTTCGGTGTAATGATATGAAGATTAAAGAGGAAAGATAAATATGAAGGACATTTTTACTTGATGTGTATGAACATATATGTATTTATGGAGGTACATATATATTGAGCTACCAGCTCATTACCGTGTTTAAACACAGCTATAAAAGGGAAAATAGGCTTTATTCATTAAGCTAAAACATGTCCCTAAAGTTAACATATATGTGTTTGATTAAGAAACACTAATTTTAGAAAGTTACATTGCAAGTCTGCCCTCACCATTACTAGTGTGGTCTGAGTCTAAATAACAGCTTTCAGATATACATGTTTGTCGCTAATTGCTGCTTTCATTCCTATCGGTCCTACAGAGATAGTGACTAGGGAAGGTTTCACTAGGGTGACTATCCAGTGTTTTGCAGATGTACCAAATTCATGAGCTTGGATTTAAGTTTTCTGGCACTGTGGGTTAATGCACTGGACTGCAATGTTGGTTTGAACTGCAAGGTCAGCAGTTCGAGCTCACCAGCCGCTCCTTGGAAACCCTGTACAGGGTTGCTATGGGTCAGAACCAACTCGACAGCACTTAACAACAACAACAATCCATCTATATTTGTACAAGTATTTGAAAACACTCTTTATTGTAATAAGTCATTGGCTACATAGACTTCAAACTAACCATCCATTGAGTTCTACAAGCCAAACAATCTACCGTCATTTATGGCATTTTTCAAAAATGGCATGGGGGCAACCTCTTCTGACCTCCTCTGACTGCACAGGAGAAAGGAAAATCAGACTCATCATCAGCCCAGAATGGATTCCTACAAGACAGAAGTCAGGCATGCCTCCACCCTTCAACCTTCTTGATCAGTCTGGCACCTACAGTCCCTCTCAAAGCACTGTCTGCTTCTCTGCTGGGTCTGCTCATTCTTTTCATGGCCACACTGAACTCACTTTATTAAGGAGGTCAACAGGTTACATTTTCGGATCAGAAATGTCCAGGATATGTCCATTGATTAGGACAGCCACTTCTCAGTCGTGTCTACAAACACATTTCTCTCTAGTCCTTGACCCCTTGTCCACACAGCTCCTTGGCCTGTGCCCTGCTTGGACAAGTGTTCATAGCTCTTTTGTGGTTGTTAGTTGCCATCGAGTCAGTTCCAACTCATGTGACCCTATGTATAATAGATCAAAACACTGCCCGGTCCTGCACCATCCGCACAATTGTTACACTTGAGCCCAGTGCCGCTTGCCACTGTGCCAATCCATCTCATTGGGGTTCTTCCTCTTTTTTGCTGATCCTGCACTTTACCAAGCATAATGTCCTTCTCCAGGGACTTGTTCCTTCTGATGATATGTCCAAAATATGAGACAAAGTCTTGCCATCCTGCCTTCTAAGGAGCATCCTGGCTGTACATCTTCCAACACAGATTTGTTTGTTCATCCCGCAGTCCATGGTACTTGTAATATTCTTTTCTAATACCATAACTTAAATGTATCAATTCTTCCACTGTCTTTCTTATTTATTGCCCAACATTCACATGCATATGAGGCTATTGAAATAGGTCAAGTGCCCCTTAGTCCTCAAACTGTCATCTTTGCTCTTGAACACTTTAAAGAAGTCGTTTGCAGAAGATTTGCCTGATGCAATACATCATTTGATTTCTTAACTGCTGCTCCCATGAGTGTTGATGGTTGATCCAAGCAAGGTGAAGGTCTTTGACAACTTCAGTCTTTTCTCCATTATCTTGATGTTATTTACTGGTCCAGTGGTGAGGATTTTTGTGTTGTTTTTTTTTTTACATTGAGATGCAACTCATAATGAAAGCTGTGTTCTTTACTCTTCATCAGTAAGTATTTTAAATCTTTGCTTTTGGCAAGCCAAGGTTGTATCATTTGCATGTTGCAGGTTGTTAATGAGTCTTCCTCCAATCCTGATGGCACATTCTTCTTCATATAATCCAGTTTCTCATCTTATTTGCTCAGCATACAGATTGAATGAATATGGTGAAAGGATACAACCCTGCCACACACCTTTCCTGACTTTAAACCACTCGGTGTCCCCTTGTTCTATTTAAATAACTGCCTCTTGGTCTTTGTACAGGTTCCTCATGATCACAATCAGGCGTTCTGGAATTTCCGTTCTCTACGATGTTGTCCATAGCTTGTCATGATCCACACAATGGAAAGCCTTTGCACAGGCAGCTATCTCTCTGGTGTTCTCTGCTCTCAGGCAAGAGCCATCAGCAATGATATCCCTTGTTCCACATCCTCACCTAAATCTGGTTGGAACATCTGGAGGCAGCTCCCTGTTGATGTACTGTTGCTGGTTTTTTCTAATGATCTTCTGCAAAATTTTACTTGCCCATGATATTAATCATATTGTCTGATGATTTCCGTATTCCTTTGGGTAACCACTTTTAGTACTGACAATAAATGCCTAAAGGTCACCCCACTTCACAGGCCAACCTCCTGCCTGAAGACACTCAGCTTTACTTGTTGCCTGGCTCTGGATTGCGCTGCCACTGCTTCTCCACATAGAGAGCTAGGCCTCCAAAGGATGCGCTTCACTCTGACTCTTCTTCCTGATGGTCCTGAGCTCCCCTGTTCCTGCTTCTGAAATGCCTCATATTAAATCCAGCTGACTAGCAAAACTGACCAATCCCATATACCCGATTTGCCTGGTGTCACCCAGTAATTTGGTATGAGTTACAAAGACTGTCATAGCTAAAGAAGTCATAGTTCATGGTGTCACATATTTCTACACAAGTGACAATGATAAAATGGACTACACTGACAGTATTTTGAATTTTCAGAGTATTTTACAACCTTTACGTTCCAATATCTTTATTTCAAAGGGAAACAAAAGCAGAAGCAAGTCATCCTGCCCAGGTTGCAGAGGTTGAGTAAAAATCAAGAGTCAGAATTCAGAACAGACTTTACATTTGCTCTCTTCCATCTACAACCTTGCATCTTCTAGTTTAGGTTGTTTTCAATTAAATCCTCTATGCTGTCATTTCAGGGTTCTTTTTACCCCCTGAAGATGCACATCTTTTATTTTCAGGAGTATGTTTCACCATTGGGAAGTGGTTACTGCCTGTCAGTTTCTGCTGCTGATACATTTATTCTCAGAACTCCTGGACTGGACTGGTTTGCCCATGAATATGCCCTGTGCACAGGGGAAGGAGTGGTAGCACTAGACTTTTAAAAGCAACATGCCCATAATCCTCCTGGAGGTCTGATTATTCTAGAAGTAATAGGTTCCTTGTCTGCATTTTGTGGAAAGCATTAACTTAAATATACCGAGAAGTCATGCTAGTAGATGTTCTTTTTTGTAGATATTATGCATTCATTTAATATTCTTCCCATTGAATTTATTTTAGGAATCCTTGACAGGGTAAAATTGTTGTCATCAGTGTTTGAGTCTTTCATACACTAAAACCTGACAAATCCTACTGATACTCATAGATTCAAACCTTTCTCATATGGTTTAGTGATTTCAGATACTAGACTGAATGAAGAATGTGTATTAGCATCTTCATTGCTATGTATGGTTCTCAGAAAAGGATTCCATATGTGCTTACACAGCAGTCAGACTTCTTGATAGGTTGAAGATGCTTATTTTCATGCATGTGCCCATTAGTTGTTGGATGCACTCAGCAAAAATTCCAGCATAAATGTAAGGCATAGTGATGGTATTTGTTAATATTTTCTGTAGTTACTGTTGGGTTTATTAGCTCATCTACGTGAAAACTGAAAACTCACCTGTGGTATTCTGTATGCATTTGGGTGCCTTTTTGACTGTTCATTCATATCTTCCACTTGTGACGAGTTAGTTTCTTTCTCTAGAACATAATATAGGACTCTCTTTCTGCTACTAGTCATAGATGAGATGAAGATGAACAAGAATGCACCGTAGTAAGATGAATATAGTTACTGATAATAATAGCTAATATTATTACAGTCCTGTCCTTCTAAGATTAGCGTTCACTCTTAAGATTCCAGGAACAGGAGAACCTAATTATTTTAAAGGGTCTTAGAGTGAGATTTCACGTACCGATCAGCTTTTAAGTCTCCTCTTTTGTTGTAATTAATGTGACTCATCTTGCTGGGGTTTTTTTTAATGTTGTAGGCGTAATATTTATAATTAGCACTCTTATAGATTTGAGGTTAGCTTAGAAGAAGCTGGCATTTCTTTGCTATTTTCTAGCATCTTTCTCGACGTGATTTTCATTCAAGTTTTCATCGTCTATACGCACCTCCTTAGCTGTATCTTTGGTTATTTTCATTAAAGGCTGCAGGCAGTTTTTACTAAATGTGTCTGTTTAGTGGACCATGTATAAATGTATTCTCTGGTTAGCAACAGTTTTAATTCATTTTTTATAATAGATTTTTATACTTTACTAACCTCTTTTGTATCAGAGTAAGCATTATGAAGTTAGAGGGAAATCAGGGTAGACATAATAGGGCAAAATAAAGGTTTTCTTGGCCAACCCCTTCTTTTCAGAAAGGCAGACTTTTAAATCACTTTCATTGTGTTGTCTAGAGCCTTTTTACTCCAAAAATAATCTTTGAGAATGCACTTTTATAACCGATAGCAATAATCCATTATGATTCGAATGATCGGAGTTTATTTTTTATTTGTAAACCAAACAACTCTCACAGTACTTGTCCATTTCTCCTCATCTTAGCCAAGATCAAAATTATTGAACGTAACCTGAGAAATCTATGTATGGAATTGAAAAAAAAATTACAAATCTGTCTTCTTAGGGTTGTTATTATTAAGCACCATCAAGTCAGTTCTGACTCATAGCGATCCAGTATAGAGTTTTCAAGGAGCAATTGGTGAATTTGAACTGCCAAGCTTGCGTTTCAGACTGACCTTGGATAGGTCAAGTGCTCATCCTACAGTGCCATACCAGGGCTCCCTTCTTAGGATGCTTGTCTCAAAAATATATTAAATCCTTTCTTTTTACTGGGCATACACTGGGCTTACTTTCTGACACTTTTGGCATTTTCTGCAACTTTACTTCAGCCACGAAATGAAAGATAACGTCAGCTCTTCAGGAAAATAATCCCAGGAACTATCATTGATACAGGAATCACTCTGAAGGGTTGAAGAACTTTAGAGTGTATCTGTTGCAGTAGAGGGGAATTAACGTGTGGCGCTGTAGGATCAGCACTGGACTGCTAACCACAAGGTCAGCGGTTCAAACCCACCAGCAGCTCCTCAGAAACCCTATAAATCAGAAACAACTAGATAGCATTTAACAACAACACAGGTAATCCAAATAAAGACCTACTTGTTGCCTGTCAGCGAGACATTGGTGCATTCCTTTTCATTCTCACACTTTGAGCCAACCAGCATCATCTTTATGACCAAAGGGAAAGTATAAAGTACTCCCTCCACAAAGGCATTTTACTGAACATAGCAGCTAATGTGGCATAGGAGAAGCCTGTAATTAGAAGAGCAAAGATGTCTTCAGGTTCATCATGAAAATGGATTGAATGAATGAAAGATGTCCAGGAACAAAGATCAAACAAATAGCTGAAAGAGACTATATTTGAAGTTGAATTTCATTAAGACATGACAGGAATACATATGGAATCTTTTAATTCCTAGTCTATTCCCATTAAGAAAATTATCAGATGACCAGAGAAAATCATCAACTCATTCTCCCAAAGTAATTCAGATCCAACCTGATCTGCTACACTGAACTTTACTCCATTCTGTAGTGACTTTTGAGGAAAACAGCTTTGTATAATGTAAACGATATTGCATTATGCAAATATGCACACAAGACCTCTTTAAACAGTGTTGAAGAGCAAAGATGTCAGTTTGGGGACTAAGGTGTGCCTGAAACAAGCCATGGTATTTTCAATAACCTCATGTGTATGTGAAAGTTGGACAGTGAATAAGGACGACCGTAGAAGAATTGATGCATTTGAGCTATGGTGGTGTTGTTGTTGTTGTGTGCCATGGAGTCAGTTCCGACTCATAGCGACCTTGTACAGGGTTTCCAAGGCTGTAAATCTTTATGGGAGCAGAAAGCCTCATCTTTCTCCCAAGCAGTTCGAAACTACAGCTGATAGTTTCAAACTGCTGCCCCTGAGGTTAGCAGCTTGATTCATACCCATTATGCTACCAGAGCTCCTTGAGCTATGGTGTTGGTGTTGTTGTTGTTAAGTACCGTGGAGTTGGTTCTGACTCATAGTGACCCTGCACAGCGTTTTAAAGGCTGTAAATCTTTACGGGAGCAGAACGCCTCATCTTTCTCCCGCGGAACCACTGGTAGTTTCGAACTGCTGACCTTGAGGTTGGCAGCCCGATTGGTAACCACTACACTACCAGAGCTCCTTGAGCTGTGGTGTAGGAGGAGAATATTAAAGGTACCGTGGATTGCCAAAAGAACAAACCAATCTGTGTTGGAAAAAGTACAGCCAAAATGTTCCTTGGAAGCCTGAGTGGCCAGACTTCATTTTTCATACTGCTGACATATTATCAGGAGGGACCAGTTCCTGGAGAAGAATTTCATGTTTGGTAAAGTGGAGGGTGGGAGAAAAAGAGGAAGAGCCCCAGCGAGATGGATTGGTAAAGTGGCAGCAGCATTGGGCTCAGGCGTAGCAACAATCATGAAGTTGGCACAGGACTGGGCGTGTTTCCTTTTGTTATGCTATGAGTTGGTACTGACTCAGTGGCACCTAACAACAATGATGATGACATAATGCAGTAGCTGTAGGTACTGTCCTTCTTTGTCGGATCCTCTTTATTAGACATCATATTCCATCAATAACATTCCTCAAAAATGGCATTCCTTACTCAGTGACATTCTTCAAAGATTCTTTTCACCACTAGTTTTCTTTTGAAGGAGCCCTGGCAGCACAATGGTTAAGTGTCAGAGTGAAAAGTCAGTGCTTGGGACCCACCAGCCACACCCGGGAAGAAAGTCCTGGCAATCTGCTCCTATAAAGAGTAAAGTCTATGGGACAGTTGCACTCCTCCATATAGGACCGCTTTGAATTACAGTGAACTCCGTGACACTTAGCAATTTTATTTTGCCTGGACCTTAAAATGAATTGCTATTATTTAACTTTCATTTCCTGATTTGTTGGGAGGACATTCCTAAATCTTTCCCTCTTTTGTTGTTTCCCTTTTTGTCTTCTTATTCTGTTTCTCATAGTTTACCAAGGTCTTATATTTCTTTGGGCTGGGACAGTTTTATTCTGTCACTTGATCTAACAATAGCTTTTTCTTCAATATTCCTATTATACTTTGGTCAGAACGCAGTAGTATTTGTCAGTTTTAAACATCGAGTCTCTCTTTAGTTTCCCTATCAATTATCTAGGTGTGTGTGATAAAAATCTATGACATGCTTGGTTGTCATCTAACCAGGAAAAAACTACTTTAAGGAAACAGCTAGCTGAAGTTTGTCACTGTCTTTCTGTGTCCTTTACAAGTCTGGCAGATGTGTAACTCCAAATTGGATGTTACATTATCTCTCATTTTGCTTATTTTTGCTCAAAATGGAGACTAGGGTTATTGTTTGCAATGTTTAACTACTCATTTGGGCCATGTAAGCATTAGCAACACATCCAATTGAGCAAATGTGTGGTTTTCCTTTTCCATATGGAACAAAAAAAGAGGCCCACTTTTGCTCTAATACTTACATCCTTACGACCACTACACCCACTATCTTGCTGAGAAACATATGCAACAAATCATTGTACTTTCCGTTTTCTATCTTTCTCTATAGGAATTTTCAGCTGCTCCAATTCAGTGTGAAAGTCTCCCTGTGGGCAGAATTTTCACATTGGACTAAAGCAGTTGGAGAGCCCAAATATGTGGTTTAATCCCATAATTTATTGAAGCACTATCAGAGATTTATTATTCAACTTGATCATAAGGATGGCATGTTTATACATATTTAATTTCTTGTTTCTCTTCTGAATTGAGAAACTTATTAATCATAAGTCTCAGCGCTGTCTTTGCTTATTCATGGTGGTCAGGGCACCACCATGTTCTTATATTCACTCTACTGAATTCAGTATTCTTACTGATTTTTATTTCAAAAGGTTCAGTCTTAAGGTAAGGTTGTACCTTACATCAAGTTTTACTGTTCACTCGGTTGCATAAAAAATGATATAGATTCATCCTGCTGCATATTCTCAATTTGATATTCAACATTTTAGCTCCAGAATCTTTTGTTCTGACCATTTTGATATATGTGCAATATGTTGGCAAAAAGGGTAGTTTTCATTCTAATATATGACTCTATTTGAAAACAGTCTTTTCTCACATTTGATTTCCGAATTCAGAAGCATTAGACTAGAAGAATGTAAGCGTATGGAAAATTCTGCAAATTAATTGGCATTTGCTCTATTACTACATTTTCATCTCTAATGGCTTTATTACTATGCCATCGATTGAAGGTCAGGATTGTATTCTGGATCTCTGAATAATTTTAATGAAGTACAACTACTTTGGGGGCACAGTTTTGTGAGTGGGGGTGTATGTTTATGGTGAGTGGTTCTTTTAAGGACCCTTTTTTTTGTTTGTTTATATTTTCTGATTGACTTTGAAAACTTTAATCTGAAGATTGAAATCCAAGTGAAGGGTTGGGTTCAAGGAGAAATATCGTTTCCAGGTAAGGAAAATAATCTCAATAGTGTATACTTAATTTTATTTCAACTTTCCAGCCAATTTTCTAATTAACTGATGGCTAATCTAATGTATTGTTTTAACTTGGTCAGCAAGAACTTAGGAGTGGGACACTGGTCACTTGAATGATAACTTAAGAAGTTCTAAATAAACAGGGTGATTTTGCATAGTTCACTTGATTGAACGATGACTTGGAGTTTCTTTTCTTTTTCCCTCCTGTGGCCATTTGTTCTGTTTTTCTCATTTCCCATCAGGAATGTCCATTGATTGCCCCATTTTTGGATAAGAATGCTGCTGTTTACTAGTGAATTAAAGAATATGTCTAGAAGTAGATTTTGTGTTTAAAAGCCGGTGTGTTTCATTTGTATCGTAGTCCCACCACGTAATGTGATGATTGATATCCAGAAAGACACTGCGGTGGAAGGCGAGGAGATCGAAGTCAACTGCACCGCCATGGCCAGCAAGCCAGCCACCACTATCAGGTGGTTCAAAGGCAACAAGGAGCTCAAAGGTGAGGTGCAAATTGCCCTGCACTGATGTTAGTCAGCAATAGAGTTTAGCAGGAAATCTAAACCTCAGAGGCGTCTTGGTGTAGAACTGCGGGTTAATGCGCTGGACTGCAATGTTGTTTCAACTGTAGGGTCGGCAATTCAAGGTCCCCAACCGCTCCCCAGAAACCCTATACAGGTCTCTATGGGTCAGAACCAACTTGGTGACACTCAACAACCGCAGCATGTACCTTTGTGGAAATTGAAGGCAACTGCAAAATATGCCCCAAAAGATAGATGAGGGAACTTCATAAAGTCTGTGGAAAAGTTTCCTTGTCTTTCTATTCCATTTTCCCACGAGTTTTTGAATGCCCCTCATTATTTTATCATTCTAATTTCTAAATACCTGTAAACCAAAGCACAACAGTGTTCTGTTGTTCTCATTTGTGTCGTCATTCTTTGGTCTGAGAGATCTTGGTGATACCTGTTGCTAGATTTACTCAGTTATCCAGAAACAAGGGAGCATGGTAGCTCTTTAGGATAAGCACCGGGCTGTGAACCACAAGGTCAGAAGTTCAAGCTCACCAGCTACTCCATGGGAAAAAAATAAGGCTTTCTGCTCCCACAAAGATTTCAAAAACCTCAGACACTCTATACAGGGTCTCTGAGTTAGAAGCAACTCCACAGCACCTAACAACAACAACAGTAGCAACATCCAGAAACAACTCAGCTTATAAACAAAAACTCTTCAAATCAAGATATACCTTTAAGAGATCTCCTGGGAACTCAGGCAACCAATGCCTGTACCTTCAGTTCTGGCTGCTTTTGCCCTGTTAGTATATGGTAGCTCAAGACAATTCAGCACTCCAAATTGCACATGGGAAGTCCCAAGTCATCCTAACACGTGTTGAGTACATGCTGCCCTACAAGGGCTATTGTGCCCCTGCATGAAGATTGATATCCTCATTATGTATCCTCTGGAACCACCTTTCTTGGGAAACTTATCATTCACTTGACCACTTTGGCTTGTCAGCCGGTTCTTTTGCAGTGTTTCTAATTTAGTGAGGGTAGCTCAAGCACTGGGTCTTCGCAGAGATAATGCTGGCTCTTCCAATCCTTGCTGCCTTCGTGGTGGCACTGGAAAAAGAGCACAACCTATTTGGCCCTTATTTGTCCTAAGTTAGTTAAGGAGCTCTGGTAGCGTAGTGGTTATGAATCGGGCTGCGAACCTTAAGGTCAGCGGTTTGAAACTACCAGCTGCTCCGCGGGAGAAAGATGAGGCTTTCTACTCCCGTAAAGATTTACACCCTCGGAAACCCTGTACAGGGTCACTATGGGTCGGAACCGACTCGACGGCACTTAACAACTTATGTGAGTTAACATTCAGATGATTTTTTTCCTGCAAGACTCCCTTGCAAGTACTTGTTGCTATTGTTAAGTGCCGTCTAGTTGGTTCCGACTCATAGCAACCTTGTGCAGAGTTTCAAAGGCTATAAATCTTTGCAGGAGCAGAACATCTCATCTTTCTCCCATGGAGCAGATGGTGGGCTCCAACCACTGACCTTGTAGTTTGCAGTCCAATGCTTATCCTCCAGAGCCTGGACCAAAGGCTACTGTGATTATTTGACAGAAATGGTCAAAATGAATTTGGCTCTTTTTATACAAGCAGAAGCTCTAAAGCCAGACTGCCTGGATTTGAATCCTGCCTTCACTGCTTATCAACAGTTTGACCTTTACTAACTGTTTGCTCCAATGTCCTCGAAGTGGAGATAGTCACATTGCATAGCTAATATGGTTCTGATGAGGATAAAATGAGTGAAAATTGTTGAGATAAAACCTGGACCGCGGCAAGTTCTCTGTATGTGCTTGTTTAAAGAACTAAAGAGTGCCAGGAAAGAAAAGAATAAGGCCTTTTAGACAGGGGATAGAAAATCTAGAACTAAGAAACAAATCTATATATGACAGCTTACGTTTCCAATAGTTTGCTCTGTTTTAATTTTATTTCCTAGGTACAGTTTTGGAAGGAAGGAGTTTCTCATTTTCCCACTGCTTTTCTGTCTAAGTGAATTGAGCCATTAAACATGTACCGATAAGTACAAAACATTAAAAGAAAGTTAATGGTGCGCCGTGTCCCAGGGAGTGCTGAGTTCAGGAAAGGGGCTGCTTTGCCTTATTCATTCCATCCGGAAGCCTCCACCCTCCTTTTCTGGGTGTTCTTGGAAGTGTCTCCCATTTGGCCTGAAGCCCTATATTTTACTTTGCTCTAGCCCACTGCCACTGCATCTTTGTGATCTGCCCAAAGTCTCAGAGTTTAAACATTTCAATTCCAGTTTCAATTATGTAAATCCATTTTGTTACTTTCCCTCTTAATTGTTAATGATGGGGGTGGGAAGGGGGTTGTTTATATCTTTACTGCTGATTGGATTACATATGGGGATTTGGTTGACATCCTGGAATTTTTAAGCCACATGACAGCCTAATAGAAGTTTCAAGTTCAGATGGTTTTAAGGGTGAAAAGCACTTTTCTTTTCCTCCTGAATGGCGTGACCAGTCAGGTGTCAAAATGGTTCAAGTTTCCACTCACTGGTTTTTTTTCTTTTGTTTTTTTGTATGTGTGTGGAGCGGGGGGGCCTAAGACTATATTTAAATGTAATATATTTAAATAAAAACATAATTTTATTTGGCACTAAAATAGGTTAAATGCTATCCTGCAAGGTTAAAAAGCTCAAATGAAAGGAAGTTCTCATTTTATCAGGAGCCCTGATAGTGTAATTATGAGCTGGATTGCTTACTGCTAGGTCAGCAGCTGGAATCTACCAGCCACTCTGTGAGAGAAAAAGAAGGCTTTTTGCTCCTAGGAAGATTTACAGCCTCAGTAACCCTATACAGGGTGGCTACGAGTCGGAACCGGCTCAGTGGCACACAACCTCCAGCACCACCATTCACACATGACTCAGATGGCTTCTGTCCCATTTGTTGCCATTGGGGGGGAGGGGGCGGCCCAGGGCCACAGTCTTGGAAATTCACTCAGCTCTGGCTTCTTGGTATGTTTTCTGTCCGCCAGGCAAAGCGGAAGTAGAAGAGTGGTCAGACATGTACACTGTGACTAGTCAGCTGATGCTGAAGGTGCGCAAGGAAGACGATGGGGTCCCCGTGATCTGCCAGGTGGAGCACCCCGCAGTCACCGGCAACTTGCAGACCCAGCGGTATCTCGAAGTACAGTGTGAGTACCTGAGTATCTTCTGAGGGCATAGGGCAACTGTTGCGTAAAAACATCCCAGAAACCATTTACCAGATGCATGCGTTCTATACAGCATAGATGGAATTTCGATCCTGCCTTGTAGAAAATGAATAAAAGAACTCAGATTAAATAAGGCTGTTTTTCTGAAATTTTGCCAGATTGCAGAGTGCCAAGCAAGGTTTTGAAAATACTACGTTTCACCCACAAATATGAAAACTTTTAAGATGATTCCAATCTGTTCTAGCATGTGACTTAATTAATTTTTTATGAATATAGGCTGTCATAATTTCTACGCCAACAGCAACATCTAGTGTATTTCCACTCCTTTTTAACCTCATCATAAGTACTGAATTTTCTTATAGAAAGGATTTTATTCTCACTCTACATCAGCATTTTCTTTTAAATTGCATGTTTTCTTCCATTTTTAACTTAAATTGTAGCAATGAATTTGAAAGTCACAATCTCTGGGCTTGGCATTCCACAGTCTTGATAGCTCCATCAATAAAAGCTAGATTGTGGTGAATGAGCTTGTCTCCCTTCTGAGTTCTGTGAGTTAAACACATACTCCTCATCTTCTGGATTCTTCCTGCCTAGGAGACAAAAACTTTTTTAAATTCTGTTTTCTTTATGAAACCATCCTTGGTTCAAAGTTGTGGCACGTTCTCACTTCTTGTCAAAAGGCTTCTAAAGCTTGGCCTCCGAAAAATCCCAGGTGACCTTTGAGCATGCATAGTGAAAACATTATGAGCGTTCGCTCGGGGTGGTGATTGGTTGTCTGAGAAAGTTAGTGTGAATCCTTACTTTACTATTGCTCAGGGCTGCTGTAACAATGACCACAAATATGGTGGTCACAACGACAGAATTATATTCTCTCACAATTTTGGATGCCTGGAGTCTAAAATCAAGGTGTCAGCAGGGCTGCGCTCCCCCCAGAAGACTAAGGGAAATTCCATCCCTTGCCTCTTCCAGCTTCTGGTAGCTCCAGGCATTTCTTGATTTATACTGCATACTTCCAATCTCTGCCTCCACCTTCAGCTAAGCTTCTTCTCCTCCTTTCTGCATCTATTTCCTATGTATCTAAGGACCCTTGACTTTGGAGTTAGGATAAACCAGGCTGACCTTATCTCAAAAACCTTAATGACTTCTGCAGAGACCCTTTTTTTTTTTTTTTTAAATAAGGTCACACAGGTTCCAGGGGTTGGTTGTCACATGGCCATTTCTTTGGTGGGACACCAATCATCCCACCCCAGTTCCTGTCACGTGTTCAAATTGCCTGAGCTGAACAGCGGCCAGGGAAAGTGAACAAAAGTTGCTTGTAGGAGACCATCCCATTCTAACCTTTTCTTACTGTGTGAGCTTGGCTCAATTTAGCATTACATAAATGCAGGTTTTTCTTGTTAATTCATTTCATCTACTTCATTATGTAGCTTCATTATGGGCATCATGCTTATAATTTTCATATCACTAAAACTATTGTGGTGTAATGTCCCTATAATGGGAAAACAGAAATGCTCAGATATTATCTAAATTGGCAGATAGTAGATTTCTTGTGACTTTGTTAATATGTAATTCATTTAAGCAAACTTAATATCCATTAACTTTCCTTGTAGGGGCCCATTAGCTTTAATAATACATTAGCTCCTTTGTGAGACCTGAGTCGATAGCCTCCTCCCGGTTCCCGCCCGAAATTCTTTTTAGTAGCTTTCCACAGTGTCTTCTAAATGGAATAGAATCCCACCCACCTACAAAATTATACTCACTCCCAAATGCAAAATTTTCCAAGTGTTGTACCTCCTACCCCTTGAAAAACTTGATAATGATCCTTGAAGTGTTGGCTTCAAGATTCTGTAGATTCAAGTGGGATTTGTCTTTCCAAGAAAAGGAATAAAGTTCTGTATCTGGATCCATTTGACTCCAACATTACAAATCATTCATTACCAGAGCTTAACTGCATAAAAGTGACTGTAATACCTCCATTAAGCTCTGGGAGCCTAGTGGGTTACAAGGTGGGCTGCTAACTGCAAGGTCAGCAGTTCAAATCTGCCAGCTGCTCCTCGGGAGAAAGGTGAGCCATTCTTGTCCCATGAAGATATACAGCCTCAGAAATCCTATACCGGATCGCTATTAGTGGAAACCAACTCCACAGCACATAACCACCACCTGTGCCTCCAAACATGAAGGCTCGCCCACTGATCTTGCAAGCTTTGGTATGCCGTTTATGAGAGACTGTTCTTTTATCCAACTTAAGCTACACAATCAGTTTATCTTTGATTTTCTGTTCTTTGGAATATATTTAAGGGAAAAATTATCTTTTTTCATAAAAGGTTGAGAATTATGAAGTGTTATATTTATCTGAAAGGAGCCCTGGTGGCATAGTGGGTTATGTATTGGGCACCTAACCACAAGGTCTGCGGTTCGAGCCCACCAGGTGCTCCATGAAGAGGCTTTCTGTTCCTGTAATGATTTCCAGCCTCAACTCAACAGCACACGGCGTCCCTAAGTGGTACAAACCGTTAACATGACCAGCTGCTAACCAAAACACTAGAGGTTGAGTCTACCCTGAGGCACCTCAGGAGAAAGTCCTGGTAATTTAATTCAGAAAAATCAGCACTTAAAACCCTATGGAGCACAGTTTTATTCTGACATATATGGGATTGCCATGAATCAGAATTGACTGGACTCCAACTGGTATGTTAATCTGCATAAGAATTTAGGGTCTGGTTTGAAATTTCAGTTTCTTAAGACAGTCAGTAGACAGTTCGCTACCCACCATCCCTGGAGTGCTGTTCAAAGCTGCCCAACGTCAGCCAGGAATTCCATAAATAGCTTCTTCTAACATGACTGCACTTCTCTACTTTATTTCTTACCAGTTTTATTTTCTTCGAATACCAGTAGTTACATGAGGACAAAAGGGCCAATACTTCAAGTGCTCAGTCATTGGACCCTAATGCTTTTTCTGTCATTGGCCAGTGACGGTGATGACTCACCTCCACTTGCTCAAGGAGCAGAGAAGTGTTACCACATCTCAAGGACCATGAGGAAGACATGGATGCTTGAATGTGTGAGGTTCTTAGAGTGATTTGCTCAGTAGCTCATTGGCATGGATGTTGAATTATGTTAGATATCCTTTAAGAGTATCCTTGTCCTGGTGTGGTGCTTCAGGAAAATGCACCGGACTGCAAGGTTGGCAATTCAAACCCACCAGCCACTCCTCAGAAACCCTAGACAGGGTTACTATGGATTAGAATTGATTCAGCGGCACTTAACAACAACAGCAGCATTATTTAAGGAGTAAACATTATATTTTTTAATTTGCCCAGACCTTGAAGTCAGCAGTTCTTAAAGTTTTGGGGATTGTTGACCCCTTTAAAATGGCTGTAATAGCCATAGGCTTGGAAAAGAAGAATACGATCACATCTCTACTACCACATTTTGCTGACAAACTCAACTAAAAACCTATGTAAATCTCTGGAAAATTCTGAGTTAGACATTCTGTCTAATACACCAGTAAAGACATGGCTGTTTTTTTTCTTTTGCCACCTAAAAAGATTTCTTATACTATCAGTGACAAACGTAAGTTTACCATAGGAAATACTGAGCTCACCATGGCTCTCTGACTGGATAGGCTGTAGGTGAATAATACCACCTTGAGAGACTGGTATTAATTATGCTTACGTTGGTCCATTTTGCTCGATGAAGGCTTATGAGAGCCTATCTCTATCCTGTCTAAGCCAAAGGATGTTAACCAAGATATGATCAGGGTTAAACAGCAGATAATGGATTTGAATTCTGTATAAATTGCATCCTCTTTGAAAATATTTTTTTAAAGGAAAGGAAATAATGAAAACCTACATTGTGTGCCATTAAATATCTTACTTTAAAAAGAAAAAAGGGAGAGGAAGATAAAATTAAGAGAAGTGTTCTTCCTCTCCCTTGAAATGAAGTGCTACCATAGTGCATAGAAGACCAGACTTAAGCTTCAGCTTGGAATTACTTTTGTCTCATGGATCTAAGCCCTAATTAATTGAACACAGACATTCTTGCAGTATTTGTTTGTGAGTACCTTTATTTGTGGTACCAAGAGAAATTGTTGTGCCCAATTATGTGAAAAATCAACCAGATGTGTATGCTGTCATACTTTTAATAATCCTTAAAGTTTTGGGTGAGCACAGATATTAATTGTGTAGTATGCATTGAAGTGATTAACATCAATGTAATTTATCATCTGGAGATTTCTGAACATAAATAAATGAGTTGTTTTGTTCAGCAAGGTGTTGACCCTTTAGAAGCAGTGAATTATAGCCCCCCCATTTTTTTTTTTTTTTGTATTATAAATATGAAAGGCTTCACAACCAGCCAAGTGTTCAGTTATTTGATTTTCTGGGGCATTAGCCGCTCTTGTTTGTGACATTTCCCTGTTGGGTGCTCGTTTGCAAGCTCATTAATAAGGTTTTCTCATAGGAACATTGCTGGGAATGGAGAACATACAGTAGGGCTCTTACATTTTTAGTTTTCCTTCGGAGACTCAGCAAGGGTACAGCAGCAGCACACAGTGACAGGTTTAAAACAGAAAATAATTTCGATGGTGAGCTGGAATTCAAAGCTCTTTCCTTAGTCTGTTTTCATGTGACCCTAAAATCTTTCTGGGCATTTTTTTTTTTTTTTTTCCTTTTCAAATGTCTGTTTATGTTGTGTTGTTCAAATTTACAACACGGTTGATTCTAGCAGAGGGTGACAATTATAGCATGATCAGTAGAGCTTCAGATCTGAGGACCTATACTCTTGTCATATAGAAGGGCTGTTTAAACGAGCACAGTTCACTGTCTGAGCCTTAAAAGGAGGTGGCAACACATGGCGACATCAGCTGGGAATTCAAAGGACAGCTTTGACCCACAGTGTGCAATTCAGATTGCTTTGCAAACAAGGGAAAACCCATACTCCAGACAGAGCAAGATACGAGCTCTGGAATTACTGCTTCGTTT